CCCGGCTTTCCAGAAAGGACTAAAGACCTGGCTCTGCCAGCTTGCGTCGGGCAACAAAAATCTTAATCAATCCTGGCAGTGGCTGGTGCCCTAATGACACTTCCTGAGCTACTCGCCAATTCCATCAATTCTTGGAACTTATTTATTATTTATTTAAGACTACTTTTATATTGTATTTTAATTGATTTTATTTTCTCTGTAAACTGCCCAGGTCACTTTTTAATGAGATGGGAGGTGACAAATCTGATTGATTAAATAAATAAATAAATAAATAAATAAATAAATAAATAAATATCTCTACAAGCCCAAGGCTTAGCCAAGATTGCTGTACCATTAAGAGCTTTTTTCTACCCTCCTCTCAAAATACTTGCCACTGCTTGTCCCCTCATGATCAGCTCTGAATCTTGGATAGTTTGAGAATTTCTTCTCTGAGAATCCTCCTTTCTTCTCTGAGAATTCATTTAATATGCTGTGATTTTAGCCACATTATAAGTTTATTTCCTTCAACACCAATTGTTTTTTGGATGGAGCTGTCTAATGTTTAAAAGTTTTAATTTTCTCTTAATGTTAATAAGAAAATAATTGTCTCATGTCTTTATACATTATATGGATTTTTGCATAAACTTTTCCACAATACACATTTTTATTGTTGGCAAACTGCATTTCAAAATTCTAAAAAGTACAAATTTTGATTAAATGTTGATTATGTATTGGTTAAAAATGACAAATTAGATAAAGTCACATTCAAATGCAGAGTAAATGTATATTTCTTCCATCCCTAGGGTATACTTTTAAATCTTTATCAATGTAATAACAACAACAACAACAGCAGCACCATCAAACAACATCTGCCTATCCCAGGTTCTTGGGAAGGACTTGATAGGTGAATAAAAATGCCAAATCCAATCTAAACATCTGTCTGACTGTGCAACCAACCATCGTCATCATCATCCCACCAAATAAGAATCAGTCTCAACAAACAACATCTGCCTATCCCAGGTTCTTGGGAAGGACTTGATAGGTGAATAAAAATGCCAAATCCAATCTAAACATCTGTCTGACTGTGCAACCAACCATCGTCATCATCATCCCACCAAATAAGAATCAGTCTCAAGATTAGCAGTATTGATAAATCAACCGATTCTAACTTCAAATGATGTCAATAATATTTCATGCAATATTCTAGTCAGAGGACCATAATCTATCACTGAGAATTCCTGAAAGAAACTGCAGAGAGAAGCATCAATAGTTTTCTTTATAGATAATCAGCAATCTTTATTTTTTTCTTGTAAGAGTTTAGGTGCAAATCATAAGGAAGTTCATCCTGTAAATACTATATTGCCCTAAAAATGTATACATTGTTTGTAGTATAGCACGATGGATCAGTGTGATTTCTGTGAAAACAGTCCAAGCTTATGTTTTATTTTGTTTTGTTTTGTTTTTTTAAAAACAGGATTGTTGATGGAACAGAGGATGCTAGCAACAATGAGGAAAACCAGGCATTTGAGTTTGGCTCTGAACAACTCAGGCAAGAATCCAGAGCATCTCCTACCATCAGGGGTTAGTGCTATTTTTAACCACCTTACAAATTATTCACAATGCACCTTTTGGAGAGGACTGCCTTTTCTGTATCCCACCCTGTGAGAAAAATCCTTACGTGTAACTATATTGACATATCAAGTCCTAACAGAATGAAAAGCCACAGAAAAGAAATGCAGAGAGCCCTTCCTGTTTCTTAGACTATTTTTCCTGTCTCTTAATAAACAAATTAGCAGATTTTGATTTTTAAGAGCATTGCCAGTTCCAAAATCCAGCCAAATCCTGTGAGGCTTTAGAGGCCCAATAATAGAAGCAAATGTTCATTAGAACAATAGTGCAGTTAGGATTGTAACATGTTTGTCTAATTATGGATCAGAAGGTAAATATGAGTAGTTAATATATTCAAAGTATATTAAACATATTAATAAAAGAATAATATCTGAATTAGGATGATAAGGGTGCCTTGTACTCTTTCAGCATACTCAATGAGCTTGCTAAATTAACTAATTCTCTGGGTTGACACATTACAGTGCATCATAAACTAACCAAATGGGCACACACACACACACAACCGTCTAGTTAAGGATTTTGTGTGAACATAGACTTTGAGTCCTCACTGGAGGCCAAATAGGCTCCTGATCTGAGGGACATAACATCTAACATAACATATGACATCTGCAGTGTACCACTTGAAGATCAAGTGCAGCTCTCAGGTCAAAGAAGATTCTGTACTTCTAATCTAGATGATCATAATCTCTCCTACCTTTATGAAATTCCAAGCTGTTGGGAATTCACTAAATTCTGAGTGCTAATTTTGATATAGTTGATATATAGCTGTTTTCCCTGTTCTACGAAAGCAATACATTATTCGAACACAAGCGTCTTTAACCATGCATCATACATTGTTGTGATTACAGAGAATGAAGTTGGTGCTGCTGTGTTAGTTATCAAAGCAGAAGAAACAAAACAACAGATCAACAGGCTTAATAATGAGGTACAGTGACTTTTGGTATTTCACTGAAATTATTCTGTACATTCTGATAATATTGTAAGGGACAGCTACACTCTAACTTTCATAAATAGCAGCTTTTTTGGGGGGAAAAAACAGAATATATGTGTGTTCATTTCTTCCCTTAATAGGAATTAACATGTGTTCAACAGCCAAAGAGGATTTTTTTCTTTATGTGCTAGGATTGAGGCTGCAATTTTATGATATAATTCCCAGGAGTTTATCACATTAAATTCTTTGTGGCTTATTTTCAAATACATGCACACAGATTTCACTGTAAGGCTTATCAAAACCCAAGAAGCATGAATGCTAATTGATACATTCAGAATGAAGATATTATGACTTTCTGAATATACTGAATAGAATTGCACAAAGAAGAGGATTTTTCTTAATATATCTTTTATTCTAAAAAAATATTTTTAAATTATGTGTATTTTAACAAAATCCAGGCAATGATTTGTTAAAAATTTACAGTGATCTGACCATGGTAGCCAACAGTTTAGGTATATTATCATTTTCTACAGAGTATATTCTGCTAGCCTTGGAGGGAGTAGATAGTTTATAACAAAACTGAATGCAAAACTGTTAGCAATTATTTTCTCTGATTCACAGGGAAACTCTCCCACATGGTCACAGCCTCAAAAAGATTAATGATCATTAATCTTTTGGGGGCTGGTGAGCATTTTGGGAATTTTTGGAATCCCTTAGCTTAGGAGTCACACATGTGACCATTAAAGCTTCCTTTATATGGTTTGTAAATTCGCAGGTTCCCAGCTACTTCTTCCCCATGCCCAAGTGATTAGTCACCAGGTAGATGATAAGGAAAAATGCTGCTAATAGCAGTCAGCAACCAGCAACCCAAGATTGCTGAGAAAGACAGGGAACCTCTTCTATTTCAGCAGCCAAGCAGGCCCAAGTTCTAAAAAGACATTTAAAAATAGTAGGATCATGAATACTTTGAAAGCAATGCAAAAGAATGGGAGTACCTCTCTGCTGCTCATTAAAGCCCTCAGGTCTTTTTTCAAGCTTCCTCACAAGCCCGAAAAACAATGCTGTTACTTTATGAAGTCAATGCTTTTAATTTAATATGACCTTTAAAGTAGCCACATCTTTTTTTCACAGTTTCACAGAAGCCAGAAACAGGAAGGGCAACATTAATTAGTAGCAGAAAGATGATGTGCTGCTAAGAGTTCTGAAGCATTGTTTCCAAATCATCTTAAAGCCTGCCCAAAGCCTATTAATGCATGACCACTTGTCCATTTACAAAATCAAGGACATTTCTGCAGATTCGCTGTAGTTATAAAATAGAAAATTGCAGATTCAAAAGTTGCATAGTTCCAAAAATATTAAGATGCCATATCTCACAAAACCTCTCAACCCATTCAATATCCTAGGATAGTAGGATGGATAATAAATTGTTTGCAAAAAAAAAATAAATTAAGAAATACTATCACATATTTCCAAGTGAAAGGATATATGTGCTTTGAAGCAGTCTGTACTGCCCTTTCAACAAGCTCTAAAGATTCATAACAAGGTTGCTTGGGTTCAGCCTATCATCCCCCAATAGAAACCCAACAGCCTGGAAAAAGAAATGTATTATATAATAATATTTCACACTAGTAAGACCAAAAAAAAAAAAAAAAGATAAACTAAAGAGAATTGGAAGTCAGGTCAAGGTGAAGTAAAATATAATTGGTTGTAATTCTGCGACCAAAGTCTGGCAGATTTGCCTTCTCATCACATTCCTTTATACTATATTAAATACCGTTATAGACAAAAGCCTTTAGGTACAGGTAATATCTCCTTCAAGTTGAGCTTAGCCCCCTGTTACTTCATGGGCAGATCCATGTTGTTTCCTTGACAGCAGTATAAAAGTGGTTTGCCAATGCCTTCTGTAGGATATCTTTTCAACTTCCCAAACTAGCTTACAACCAGGGCATTCATCGAGGGAGGGGGTGCCAAAAAAGTCAAGATGATGGTCACGGCTGCGCAATTGAAGCCCTGTCCCTTTTTACAGATTTTGACACAACTAAAAAGAGGTGGGGCTTCAGTCACAATCACCATCTTGACTTTAAAAAAAAGAGAGAGAGAGACACCCCTATCATTCCTTGGAGATCTCTCATCAAAATACTAACCATGCTAACTCTGAATAAAAACATTCAGAGCGTACATGGGAGTTTTTGTACCCCAGCATATACTTTCAATATTAACATAATAAACAATACACAAATCCTAAATAGCAATCTTTCATTCAGGTTCACTCAGAAAACAGAAATCCTGTTTTTTTCCTAATGCATCAAGTATGACACTGACTAGCATCATATTCAGACATGCAGAATGCAGGAGCAAGCCAACAAGCCTAGTTCTTCTAGCTATACTCCCCATGCACAAAGGGCAGTACGTAATCAGTGTTGATCTGAAGGAGTCAATTTCTCTATTCGTAGAAATTCCTCTACCAGGATAATAACTATGTTCAGTCCAGGACAAACCCAATGGAAGAAATGCTATGTGCATAAAAGCAGCTTAATTTATGATGATCTTCCATAGGCCAGGAACACAACTATGCATAATGCATAATTGGGAGATTCAAAAGACCAGGATTAGCCTTTAGCATTCTTCCTGATCTCATCATACATTTGGTACCTAAAGCAGCCAAGCTCCTGAATAGAGATAAACTTGAAAACTGGTACCATATAAGTGGTTGATCTTGAAATAGCAGTTTGGATCTCATATATTTGAGGATAAATAGGGTTAGGAATGTGCTTATGATTGCATTTTCCTTCTTTTCTTATGATCTGTATGTGTGTGCATATACAAATGAATGATTAAATAAATATATTTATGATATTCTAGGTCACTACTTTGACTCAAGAGGTCTGTCAGTTAAGTAAAGACATGAAGAGTGTTATGCATCTCCTGGAAAACCTATTGGTGGCCCAGAAATCGCCAGAGTTCTGTGCGGTCCATGGCCCAGCCATGAGTCCCAACATGGAAAGCTTACAAACTAGAACGACGTGGACTACACGCCAACCCTGTATGCACATGCAGGTGCCAAAGGTTACTTGCACTAAAGCACAGCTCTGCCATTCCAATACCATAGTAGGAATCTGGAACATGGATCCAACCTCTGTGGGTAACAGCCCACAAAGAACTGAATCGCTTGTACAAAATTCTACAGGTGGTGAATGTTATTGTACTTCAGGCATTGAATATTCACCTTCCCATTACCATGTTATCCAGAAAGATAATTTGCAGTTTGTAGGTTGCACTTCTCCCAATTCAGACACTACTTTGACTCCTCTCCAGTCTATTTCAGCGACTTTATCATCATCTATCTGCTCTTCATCTGAGACATCCTTACACCTTGTATTGCCCAGCAGATCTGAGGAAGGCAGCTTTAGTCAGGGAGTTAGTTCATTAAGCCTTGAGAATCTGCCAGGGTCTTGGGACCTGGAAGGAACAACAGGAACTGCACTTGGACAGACCTCAGAAGATGTTAAGACCAGCACAGAGGACATTAGAGACAGCAAAGCCATAAATGTATAATGGAACTGATTGAGTGGTATTTCAAGCATGTCCCATGGCTGAAGCTCATCCAGTACTGCATGACAATTTGCCTTTTCTTAGATGATCATGAAAACCTGCGACATGAAACTTCACATGGTTAGGGGACCAGCAGAAAGGCAGAGGCAGAAGAGGAGAGATTTCCAGATTTCAAAAGCACACCAAAAAGCTTTTTATGCACAAATGTAATTAAATTGGATTGCTCAAGAGACGTTTGTGATTCTCCACAGCTCCTTAGAACCACAGTAGCTGGAGAACTAGGACTAGGGAGGTTTGGAACTGGAAGACATTGCTGTGTGAAGTAGAGAGTTTTTGTTTTGTCCATTTTATTTTTCTTTCTTAGTGCTTGATTGTTGCTTCCAGATAATACCCATCTCTCCTTCAGGTGATTGAGACTCCTGCTGGTATTTATACCAGAGCTGTAAAGACTAAGAGACAGTTACCGCTGCATGTCATCTCCTTGACAATCAACCAAATAGACCTGATAGGGAGTGGTTAATTGTTGCACGTTCTTTGTTATATAAATCAGACCTCTTTATCAAAAAAAAAAAAATTATATATATACTATTTTTCTATACTTGATAAGAAGTATGTATTTAAAATATTTATAAGGAGACTTAAGGATTTGAGGGGGTTACATTGCTTGCAGTTTTCAAAACTAATGCATTACCATGTACATGCTATTATGTATTAGGTCAAACTGTTCTTAACTTCAAATCATAACTTTTCTCCACCGCATGAAATTGCAATGAATTTATCCATGCCAATAGAATACAGATAAAGAAGAGAGATACTGTTTTATTTACAATAAAAGCCAAATGGTATATACAATATTCAGATAGTCTATTAACTCTAATACTTTACCCAATTATCTCTGATGCCTTTATTTATGCCATTATGTAACCTCAGCTTTTTCTTCTTTAAAAAATATAGATCTAATAACTTTATCTGAATAAACCCCTTGCATATGTTCTTCAGTCAAGATAATAACCTGAAAACTGGTGAACTGTAAAAAGGAAATATTTCTCCAATAAATTTTTCAAAAATACATATGATTGTTTCCACCAACATAAAAATGAGTCATAAATAAATAATTATGGGACACTTATCAGCTGGCTTACCGCATTTGTACCTAGGATAACAGGATAAGAAAGTGGATTACCAAAATAGGTATGTATTTGTATTCTATAATATTTTAGATAAGCTGGCGCTCTGATGTCATTTTGAATGTGCACTATCTATGTCATCATTTAAGATCTTCCAGACTAATTGGTAAAGAACACAATTCTTTTCAGACTATCCATAATAGTACCAATAATAATGAAACAAAATTGATGTCATATTTTTATGATCAATCAAGCCATTGTTATGAAAAGTTAATGAGAGCAAAGGAAGAAACTCTGAATTAAAGACAAAGCTAAAGGTTAAGATATACTAATTTAAAAGAAGTCTAAAAATGCTATTTTGTCACTGATATCCATCACTCAAATATAGCTGGTGTTTTGAAATAATGAAACAATGATTTTGATTTCAAATTTTATGGAATTCTATGGGACTTAGCCCGTCAAATATTTCTGTATAAAGAAGAATCTCCTGTTTTGGTCACTGCGCAGATATTCATTTTTATTTTTATAGCCAACTCATCTTCCTTCATTGGCCAAGTATTTGAAAGTCATACTTTGTCACCCTAAACAATGATTTCCATTGTGTCATGGCTCCTACATTCTCAAATCTCTATGGTAAAAACTGTGATTGCTTTCTTGTCTAGTTGGGAACATATATGTCCAGTTGGGTGCCACTCAACTGGTAATCCATTGAGAAATCTGCTACAAGTCAGTTAGTTGTAAACATTAAAAAAAAAGATCTATTTCAAATTCCTTCTTTTGTACATATACCCACTGGACTAAAGAGGAAGCAAGAAGAAGCATTAAAAAATTAGAAATGCTAATTCTCAAAATTGAGTGGTGTAAAGTTCTGGGAATAAAGTCATACTCTGGTGAAAAACTAACTTTTGCAACTTGTAAGGAAATGTTAATTGAGATAGGGCTACTATATATGGGCTGCAAAATTCTAGATGATTTCAAGGACTGAAGTCCATTTCAACACATACACCGTTATCCTATGGTAATGTACATATACACAACTGAAGCCATGGATAAACCGTGGGGCTATTTGTGATAAATTTGTTCCCCTTTAAGGGGCCAGAAGGGTCTTTGTTGTTTTCAAATAAAGCTGTGGGATAACAAGATGACCAAGAAGATATAAACAAGATTGATACAATTACACAAAAGAAAAAAAAAAGACAGTGCAATGAGAAAAGATTTCAAGCAGAATAAAGGAGATTTGCCTCTTTCCTCATAAGTTCTATTATATATATGCAGTGCAGAGAGAAAAGTTCCTTATGTTATTTCCCTAATTTTAAATTATGTTCCTGAAGAGAGAAGAAAACATTTATGATTCAGATACCTATATTTTTTTCTCTATCCAGTAGTTTATTTTCAGATTCCATAGATACAAGGATCTCAAAAGAATTATAATTTCTAGTTTAGGCCTCACAGAAGTAAGCCACAAATCTAAATACAATATCTGCCTTCAAATAAATATGATATACTGTTGTCTTTTCAGGCTCGATAAACAAAATAGCAGTTCCAGAAGAAAAACTTCCTTTCATTAATCTATGAGAGGAAGATAAGGTTGATAACCTGGTGGCCAATTAATTTAAAGTGGGGGCTTCAGAGAAATATGAATGGATACTTCAAAAACCGCAAAAAAAAAAAATGAAGCATAAAATTCATGAAGCAATTTGTCAGTTTTAAATGAAAGCACATAGTCGTTGGAATTATATCTTTATGGTAAAACAGGCCACTTTTCAAACACTGGTCTAGAATAATTTATATCACCTCCTAAACCTGAAACTTAGAATATGATAATATTTCTTAAACAGTTTAGACATTCTCAACATTGCCCTACTTTTAAAAATCTGGCTGTAGTTCTCCTGCACAATGAGTAGGAATTATGCAAGCAAGATTGTCACCTCTGCAAAATAATGATACATCTCGGAAACTGGGAGTTCTGCAAGACTTAAACTGATCTGCCAAATAAGTGCTTTGCTCGTTTGCCCCAGCCACCCTCCTGCATCCCCAAGATATATCAGCAAGCACAGAAACAAAGATCCTCTATTTGTTGGTCAAGGAACAGTTCAGATAAGAAGTTTGGCATCCCGAAAAAGCAACCGCAGAACCCATTCATCACCGCCTATGGTGAAAAACACTGGGATACAAAATCAGGTTTTTTAGATCAAAACCCCCTGCATTGCCAGTTAAATCTCTTGGGTTTTCTCAAATGTTTTTTTTTTCTTTTTAATATGTTGTTATAAATCTTCGTACTTTGTGTTGTTTCCATGCATTGATGTTTGTATAATAGGTTTAGAAATTATTAACATTCTATTATTTAAATGACTTAGAATCTTTTTTTATTTCTTTTTTCTATTCTAAATATTCTATCAATGTTAATTATAAATCTTTTAAAATTTGGATCTTTGCTAGCTCTGATCCCACTGGCTGAAAAGACTGGCTCTTTGCTTCTCTTTGTATTTTCTCCCCACTCAGAAGTGCCCTGTTTTGTTTGTTTTTGGGGGAGTCTCTCCAAGGTTGGGAGACCCAGTTTTACACTGCCAAATCATTCACTACCAAATCCATCATCAACTCTTGTTCTTAACTCTGAAATTCCTCTCTATCCTCCAATTCTATCTTTTGCATCTAATTTTCTTTCTCCCACCAGTATATCTGATTCTCCTGATTTTACTAACTTCATTCATTTAAAAAAAAAAACTTTTTGTTCACAGTTGGCTATACCTTCGACTCAGTGGCAGCCACAGGAGAGTTCAAAATCTACAAGATGGCAGGTGCAGGATTGTGATCCAAGCCCCATCCTTTTCATACATGCCTGACATGACAAGCACATACAAAAGGGTGAGGCTTGATGAGAATGTTATGCCCATCATCTTGCAGATTTCGTCCCCCCTAGCCCTCTTCCCCATGCTACTTGTACTACTGAGCAGAGAAATTTTCTGCATTATTTTTCTATCAGTTCTTATTCATTTTTATGGAAAAGAATTTGCTTTCAACTTTCTTTCTAAGTGGAAGAGAATTTCTGAGAAATCCTCAGGAATGGAGTGTTATTTCATATATTAAAGTACAAGGTGGCCACATTCTATCTTGTACTGTAGAAGACTCTCCAGTCCCTGCAACCTAAGGGAACGTATTTCATGGGACGTCTTCAGGAGTGATGCAACCAATGAATTTAAAGGAGAATCCTGTCATTGAAAAATGATTAGAGAATTTGTCTTTTACCTGGAGAAATTCAGAGAAATCTCCCACCTTATTGTCTACTTTGGTGGAGAATTTTAAAAGGCCATTTATGTCCAGTTTTATTTTCCTCTGTTGCTCCTGAACTGTAGTTTGGGCAGAGGCAGAAGGAGGAGGAGGAAGAGGAGGAGGGGGAGGAGGAGGAGGAAATGTAGTACCTGCCAAAAGCCTGTAAATCTCTATTGAAAAGACAGAAGGTATGACAATATTGGGGAACAATAAAATGTAGGAATAATAAACAAGGTGGCTAACAAACTTAAATTTATATGCATAGAATAGGGAAGAAGGAAAAGTAAAAACAGTAAGTAAGAACCAGAGTACTAGACCATATTTAAAGTATATAGGGCAGCGAGAATTACAAGAATACTTAACCATTAAGTAAAAACAAAGCTATATTGCTGTATGGTAGTCAAATACAGTATTAAAATACTAATGTATTAAAAGGTTTAGATAATTAAAACATGGTGATAAAATGCAGAAGTATACACTAAAATAACAAAGTTCTACCTGGAATACTTTCCTTTCTGAAATGGTACCAGGGCATCCACAGGGGGTAGGGACAAAACAGAGTCAAGATGGCAGCCACCACCTTGAGTTTTTTGACCCAGCCTCCCAGACAGCCACACAGGACTGTGCGTTCTACAGTTTCGTTTAGCTGCATGTGAGGTCTACACTCAAATCC